ACCCTCATAGCAAGTACGTTACTGTATCTGACAATTGGCTTTGCACTCACTATGGCAATACTGGGCACCTTAAGGAAACCTGTAAGGCCAGATTCCAACCTCAACAGAAAAAAAAAAAATTTGTTGAAAAAGTAACTACTACTAGGGAACCTGGTCCTTCACATAAAAGACGTATAATGCCTGCTTGGACCAAAAAAGCCCTAATTCACCCCTTTCCTTATTACAAGAAACCCAAACTTGTTTAGGTTCCTAAATCAAACCCTTGATTTACTTGTGCAGGGAACAATGAAAGGGAGCAGCCAACAATGGTACATGGATAGCGGCTGCTCGAAGGGTAGGTCGTGGTTTTTAATCATAGGGTAGGTCGTGGTTTCTAATCCCGTTGAGCTGGAAATTTTCCACGTAAAATTCCTCTGTGTCATTTACTTACTGCACTGTGCATGTGTTCTGTTGAACCTGGTAGAGAACCTAGTTCTCTATAGAGTTTGGTGGACCCTTAAATTCTGTCAAAGTGAAATAGCAGGAAAGTAATAAATGTATATATTCTTATTAGTGAACAATGATGAAGCTTACAAATGAATGGAATCCGTCTTTGTATAATAGAGGAGTCCTAAATAAGGTACACTTCAAATTATAGTAGGAAACCATATTAACATCTAATTAATCGTTGTGGATTGATTCGTTTCGAGATTCACGCCACGATCCTCGACCAATCGGGGATATCTTGCCTTTTCCGTTATCAAGCTATACCGGTATCACTCGGAGTTTGTCTCTCTCTGGCCGTGATTGACGCCGACCTCGATCCGCAAAGAGGCTTCGATTTCGTGCTCGAAGTCCTAGCTTCTTTACGCGACATTCCCACTTCGACCAAATAATCCATGTACACATACCCATGTTAATTGAAACTTATAAAATAGTTTTTTTTTAAAAAAATTGATTTTTGTTCATCCTTGTAAAAAAGTGTTTGAAAGTATCAATTAAACCAGAAAATTTCAGAAAAACTTCCGGCGAACAACGACCATCTTGATGTGTTATTATTGAAACAAAATAAACTCCGACAAAACTTTTCGGCGAACAATAAGAAGTGTAGTTGTTCCATATGAACCAAATTGAACTCAGACAAAAGATTGAGTACGAACAACGACATAGGAACGTATCTCCACTATTCACTCCCTTCTCCCTCCTCAACCCCCTGTTGCACCTTCACTTTCGGTGGGCATCAACAAATCAAAAAATAGAAAAAGCATATTTTACCCCTAAATCTGATTAGCAAACGAAAAGGTGTCAGAATACAAAATTCTTAGCTCCATTAAATATTTGAGAAGAGTTATTGCTACTTGTCTCCTTATTTCTGCCCAGATATTATAGTGAAGATTTGAATTTGGGTGAAATGGAGGGAAAAGAGGTGAAAGAAACCGTGAAATGTTTGGAGGGAAATTGGAAAATTAAGAGGAAAGACCAAAAAGCCCCTGAAAGTTTTTTATTTTAATAAGGTGGCATGAGTATCTTAGTGAAACACAAATTGGGTACAATGCTAACTTACTACCTTCATGTAGTATTTTAGCAAGACCATATATATATATATATATATATATATATCATATCGTGTTCGATGGGCTGACCAAATGGAGGAATTTAAACAGTGTAGATCATGGTGTTTATCAAGGGCGGATGGAGCACACAACTGCTGGGACTGTCGACGCAAAACATAAATTTATACGTGAAAGATCACTAAATTTATAATAAATAGTAGATATGATGAATCAATAACTTTAGAATATAATGATTTTAATGCTAAAAGTTTTAAATCTTAAACCCAAATAAATAAAATCGTAGATCCGCGTCTGGTGTTTATATCCATCTACCCAAGCTATCCATGTTAACGCTTGACATATTGCTAGCCAATCATTCACGAAAAGGAGAAACTTTTGCAGCAAGGACTTTCTCATAGTCTTGAAGTTATGAAACCTTTAAAATCCTAAAGGGGTCAACAAATCGAGCATGTCGTCTGTGTTATCTTGTGATCGACGTCCTGTTTCAGTGTAACATGAAGCTGTTTGAGCTGAGTCACCTTTATTCTTCTCTTATTGGGATGAATATATTTTCCTTTTAACAAAGTCGTCAGATCATACTATATTATACGCGCGAAGCCCCAAAGTCAAAAGTGAATTACTAAAATGTCCTACAAAGATTGAAAGATCATTGAATCCTTTCCTTAAATGCTACTTTTATATTATTTTTGTATCAAAAGTAAATTTATCCTTTAATAAATAATAATTTCTACTACAATCTACAATAAATCAGATAAATGAGAAGATAATAGCATGAAGGATACAATAAATGATAAATATGTATGTTGCACCCTTTCAACTCCTAGATAAAATTATACTACTTTACAACTTTTCAATTCCTAATTAGAATTATTTCATCTTCTCTCTTTAACTGATAACCATCTCTTACCTACAGAACTCACCTACAAATGTCAAATAAGGTGCATCTTTCTCTTTCATGTTACTTTTTTTAAGTGTTTTGCTAATGCCATACCTTTATTTTTCTTTCGTTCCTTCCAACTATTTCTTTGTATAGGGCAATTGGATTTATGTTTTGAAATTCTAATGTAATTGTCAAATCTGGACAATATTTATGATACTAAAAATCTAACAGGTGGACTAAGTTTTTAGGACCGAATAAACCAGGATAAAAAATTAATAAATTGTTAGCTTCACCATAGCTCCTAACTGGTGTAGTTAATAATTTTTATAATGTTTCTTGATTTATTTTAGTGTAAAGAATATCACTGTTTATGCAGAACTTTTGCTACGATGCAGTCTACGAAAAATAAATTTATTTTTCATATTACACTTAAAAATTAGATTATGTTCTCCAAATCTCTTTGGTCTTGTATATTGACGTCTTAAATGTATGAAGCAAAATTATCTTCAAAATATTGCATTTGTATCTCTCTTATTGTAAATATTTTTGATGTGTGATATATTTATATATGAGTAAAAGTGCTACATAATTAAGTTTATGTTGGTTTGTGCTTGTTTGTATACATCGATCGTATCTATATCTAACTAAATTTAGCTAATCATTTTTATTCGACAATTAAGTTTGAGCTTGTATTTTATTTTTCCTTTTAAAATTATCTTTTAATAATATTTTTATTATTTTAAAATATATCAGCTGACATAAGATACACGTGCAACGCACGTGTCAACAAACTAGTACTATATATACATGTCATGTCATTTAAAAGGTAAATGCAAGTAACTTTATTTTAACATTGATTGGTAACTTTCTAGTTTATGGCAACATTAATTGATAACTTAATACAAATGGTAATCAGTTATAACATGTTAAAATATATTAATGGTATGTATTATTTATAACATAAATCCTTAATGGTCTGCTTGATTCTTGAATAGCGAAAAATCAGAAATAGCTAGATTTATAGTCGGTAATTGAAAAATAATCATAATTTCAAAAGTAGCCGAATTTTAGTAACTTTTTTTAATGTAAAGGTCAAATCTGAACAAAATCACCCTTAAAAATCCAGAAATATTGCAACATAATATGCGGGAGTTCGAATTTTTTACATATGAGATTCTAGCATTAGGGGTGTACAAAGAAAACTGATAAACCGCACCAAACAGATAATCCGAGTCAAACCGGAAAAAGAAAAAAATCGATCATGGTTTGGTTTGATTTGGTTTGGTGTTGGAAAAAACCCGGACTATAATTGATTTGGTCTAATTTTAACTAAAAAAAGTCAAACCAAAACTAAACCAACCTGACATTATATTTATACAATTTTTAAAAATATTTTATATATATAATTATTTATTGTAATATAATTTATAAATATTTCTTAATCTTTTTTAAAATTTATCTTTAAACATATTATTCCAAGTTTGGACTTAACATTACTAAATGATCCAATAAATTTCATAGCCCATAAATATAGTAATTAAAATAAACTTCAAATCAATACAATGCTAACAAAGGAAATTCAATTCAACGTTAGAAATGACAATAGTGTTCGATATCTATTTTTTAATTTTGCATTGGTTTATAATAAAAATTCATAACTTAGTTTTTCTTTTTCTTTAGTTCTTGGTTGTGTAATTAATAGTACTTATTAACTATATTTATTTTAGCAGGACCTATATAGTAATTTTAGATTATGTTAATTTTTATTATGTCTTATTAGTTAGTAATATTTTCTTTATGGATTTTATTATTTTGGTTATTGAATATTTTAGTACAATGCTATGACTTATCTCATATTATTGCGTTATTTTCTTGAAAAACACATTATATAGTTGTATTCTACTAGGACTAAAGAAATGTTTGGAGCACAAATTATATATTTTATGCTATGAAGACTTACAGGGAAAAAAAAATCCAAAAACGAGAAAAACCCAAGAAAAAAAGGAGATTGAAAAACCCTAGTTTGTTGGTTTGGTTTATAGATTTATAAACCCGATACCATTGATTTGGTTTGGTAATTGAAAAATCCGTACCAACCCGACCTATGTACACTCCAATCCAGCATAATGTGCTGAAATTTCATAATGCGTTTGAGTTGCAACATAATATGCTGAAAGTTTATACGCAGGAGCTCCATATCCAACATATTATGCTGGAACTTTTCGTGTGCTGGAGTTCCAACAAAATATGTTGTAAGTTTATACTCATGAACTCCATAATCTAGCATATTATGCTGGAACTTTTCGTGTTTCAGCAAAATTGATTATTTTTTAATGATATTATAAATACTGACTATTTTTCAATCACAAGTTCAAAAACTAGCTAGCCCGTACTATTTTCACTCTTGAATATGACAAGTTTCATTGGATCTTTGGAAAAGGCCTGGCCCTGAATAGAACTTAGAAGAATGGCCCATATACATATCGTGCTAGATGTTTTCAGTCAAATGACCCGAGATCTAAAGGGCGGGCACACAGCACAGCTTATATAATGGAATTATGCCCTGCTGATTCCATCTTTCCCGCCTCAGAACATTTTCCCGCTCGGAGCAAAACCCTAACCAGCAGAAATGGGGACGAAGCATCACTCCTCCTCCTCCGATCCAATCGACGACCCGAAGAAGCGCCGTCGTGTCGGTTTTGCTAAGCCTGGTGAGTAGTCATTCACCTCTGAATCTCTTTTCTTTAGTTCATTTCCTCTTCCTCAGTCCTCAGCTGCGTTTTTTAACTTCTCTCATCATTCACGTTGTCTTTTCTTGATGTTCTTTTTCTATGCAGATGCTGGAATTGAAGCTAACGAGTGCATTACTATATACTTAGGTTTGAATTTTACTCTTCTCTAAAGAAAATTTCTCAACTGTTCTGTTCAATTTTTTCGGAGTGGTAATGTTACTGTCCTATCGTTTAGCTTTCAGTGAAGTGAAATATTCAGCTCTTAACATTCTGGCCTGATAACTTGATTTTCACCATGAATAATTTTATTCCTTTGTCTTTTCTTTTTTTAAATGTGAAAAAGGAAAATCCTTTAGAGTTTCTCTTTCAGGCCTCTATGTAGAGTAAGAATAATTAGGTTAAAATTGGTTGGAGTTTAGTGTCTGTAAGTTTTCCCCAAGTCAGAGATTAATGAAGTTAAATCTAGATATTGGTGTTGTACCTGATCTAGCTGCTCATTTGCTTAAGCTTTGGCTCGGCCTTGGTCTATTCATAAACAAATATACACTGTAGGCATGGATTTCGAATTGGAACATAGAGTTGCTTTTTTAATTCATTGGACGTCTCATTTTCTTTTTTCTAGAGGCTTGCTAAAGAATAGATGATATACATGCTGATGATTGGTTTTTCTTGCTCATCATTGGGTTTAACTTGGACCTAAAACATTGTTTTAAGTTGAGATGTTTGACTATATAATTTATTTTGGCATGATTTGTCTTTATTTGATTTTGGGAACCTGTTTCTCTTCCTTAGTGGTCCCATAACACATATTTTTCGCTTGTTCTTAGTTTCTAGGAAAGAGGATGTGGACTCCCCAAACAGTTTCTGTCTTGAACCAGTTGACTTGAATCACTTTTTTGAAGACGATGGCAGAATTTTTGGGTATCAGGGTCTGAAGGTAACCCTCCTTCTCAAAAGTGCTCTTTGTGGCTGAGTTGTTCTGAGTTTCATTTGTTATTTAATTTTTCTTCGGGATACACCTTAAAGAATCTTCAGAACAAGAAAAAATGGAGAAAGTTGTCATGTATAGTGACTTGAGTGTTCCTTTGACATGAGTGTCTAGGTTTTTGGACTAAAAGAGATATGATGTGACTGCATTTGTGTTGTACAAGTGTCAGAGAGGTATCTGATTGGTGTTGATATTGGACTTGATAGTAACTAGAGCCTGCTATTAGAATATGGTGTTTGCTTCCCTGCCACAAATTTCTTGGCCTCCCCTTCTATCTTCTCTCTCTTACACGTCTCATAATGGATTAGGGATGTTGGTCTATCAGGTTAATGATGAGATTGGATGGTTTAACGGAGGACTGCAGTCCTTTTCTGGAAAAAAAAGGGACAGACTATATTTGTGAGGAGAGAAGAAAGAGTTTTAGGGTGCGTGCAAGGGTTTTTGAGGTTTTGAGATGGGCTGCAAGTTGGCTAAGTGTGTGGATGGGATGAGTATTAAAGTTCTGCTTAGTCCTTCTAAAGTACATTTGCTATCGTCTTGCTTACATGAGCTATGCTACATGTTCTGGAACTGAGATGAACTCAGGAACTTCAAGTTCTAGAGTGCACCTTCATCTGTGGTTGCTGCTTATCTAGATATCAGGTTGCACATTCGGTCGTGGCTTCTCACCAGAATCTTCTTTTTCAGCGTCTCTTCACAGGTCTGATCCAATAAGGATACAATTTTTTTTTACCAAAAAATAGATAAAGGAGACCTTAGTAATGATCTTGAACGAATGTCATAAACTTGGAGTCGCCCAGCACAAACAGTCAGAAAACGCTGCCCCCTATCCACTTCCATAGAGTGGAAGAGAGGAAAATGATAGCATGTATAATGGTTACATAAATTTGATAATGCTCTTACTTGTATTGATTGTTCTTTTAGTTAATCTGATCTTTTCATGTTTCCATTTTGCAGATCACTATTTGGGTTAGCTTGATATCCTTTCATGCTTATGCTGATATTTCCTTTGAGAGCTCATCAGATGTAAGTATCCTTTTTTGCTCCTAGTTTGCTTGTTGCTTTTGCTCCTACTGTTCAGATTTCTAATGTATAAATGAGCGAACTAGATTCTAGTGATGCTAAACAAAAATGTTGCATCTTTGTCAATGTCCCTATGCTTCGCTATTCTATTGCTTTTGCTCCTATCACTTAAGTGCATGAATTTTAAGGGTTGTATCTCATTGAGAGTTATTTCAGACTTTCGGGATATATCTCATTACAAATGGTTCTTTGCAGTCGAATAAGAGCCAAAATGCAATTCTCTATGAAAGAGTTACCTCTCAGGATTTGCTTGACTTATTTCTTACTCACTTATATATGATTTTCTTCTCTTTATTCTTTATCTTTTTTTGGATTACTAGGGAGGCAGAGGTATCACAGATCTAAAGTCTGCTTTACAGGTAATGACTATGGATTTTCTCTTAGTGTAATATTATCAAGACGGGATTTAACTGTGATTTTTGTAGCAGAATATTTTTGCTGAGAGTCTCGTTGATGAAAAAGATGCCTTCCTGCAAACTTTTTCAACTGAAAGCCATTATGTTCGGTTTGTCCGTAACTTTATTATACCTATTTTTTCATGTTGATTCTACTTACCATCCCTGATGAATAATATTTTGTTCGACCAATTTCTACCATATATTTATATCTAAGTTATCTTGCACACAGGTCTGTTGTCTCAAATGCTGAAGCATTGCAGCATAAAGTTTCAAATGGCTGTAGCTCTGAATCTAATTGTCTTTCAAAATCAGAGCCTTTTGATGCAGAGGTGCCTTCTTTGGCCCATTTCTTTGGCCCTTTTCTTGACTTAATAGGATAGAGATGACAATAATCATATCTGTTTTATGCCTCTAGTCTAGTGCATGCATAATATCTTTCTTATGTGTTTCTCTTTTAAGATGTTAAGGGTTTGGAACAAACTAGTACTAAAGCAGCTAAACTACAGCTAGACCTACATGGAATAATCATTTATGAACCATTTATATTAGCGAACTTCTTTCTACTATTTGGGTAACAAATGTTATAAGAAGCTACTCCTGCCCGATTGGAAGCTTCTGTCTATGTCTGTTGTGTGCTCTCTCAAAATTTGATACTTCACTTCCTTATGCATGTGGATTCTTAGCATGTTGAGTACTTGAGTTGAAACATTATGTTTGTGTATTTTGTGACAAATAAGCTGAGGATTGATTATCCTTCTCGGAATTGGTCCAGGTATTCCGGATTGTTGGCATGCCTGTAGGACACCTTTATAGCAGATTGGTGCCACTTGTACTACTCTTAGTGGATGGTAATGGTTGTATGCTTTTTTGAATAAAATTATCATTTATGGCTGGCTTCAATTCTTATAGTGGTATTTGTAACCAGGTAGCAATCCTATTGACATCCTTGATCCTAGATGGGAGATTTATCTCCTAGTCCAGGAAAGGAAAGATACCCAGGAAGAAAGCCTTTCTAGGCTACTTGGTTTTGCAGCTGTCTATCGTTTCCACCGTTATCCTGAAAGTACACGCTTGCGACTTGGGCAGGTAAAATTTTGACAGTTCGGCATGATCATACCATATATATAATTTATTGATATAGCTCTTTCTAACTCTTAACTGATTTGGATTTTGGCAGATACTAGTTTTGCCTCCTTACCAGCATAAAGGTTATGGTCGTTTTCTTCTTGAGGTGCTGAACAGGGTTGCAATATCGGAAAACGTATATGACCTGACAGTTGAAGAGCCAGAGGATTCTCTTCAACATGTTCGATCCTGTATTGATTTGGAGCGTTTGCTTGTATTTGACCCAATCCAGCACGCCCTAGACTTGGTTGTATCACGTTTAAAGCAGGAAAATCCTTCCAAAAAAAGCTCACCTAGTAAGTATGGTCCACCATTGAGTGCTGTTGAAGATGCGAGGAAAACTTTGAAAATCAACAAGAAGCAGTTTGAGCAATGTTGGGAGATTCTTATCTATCTTCGCTTAAACCCAATTGACAAATATATGGAGACATACAGGACAATTGTTTTGCACCGAGTAAAGGCTGAAGTTGTTGGGAAAGATTCAGAAGGCAACGGGAAGCAGGTGATTGATGTACCAACTGAATATGATCAGGAAATGTCATTTGTGATGTTCAAATCGCAAAATGGTGAATCTAGCAGCATAGAGAGGGCTGACAATCAAATTAATGTGGAGGAGCAGCTACAGAAACTGGTGGATGAACGATTAAATCAGATCAAGTCGATTGCAGAGAAAGTTTCTGTTCATCGGCAATGAAGTCCAAGGCAGCTGCTGCTATTTCACATCTGCATAGTCCAAAGGCCGATGATGCAGCAGTTTTTGATTTTACAAAGGTGTGGCTATACATGAAATGAGCTGTACTTGCTTAGGTTAAATTAGTCTAGTCTCCAAATTATGTAGACTTGTTTGCTTTAAGTGTGAGCCATTTTGATACAGGGCAGCTTTCTGCTCGCACTATTTTTTACTGATGGATTTATCTTGTACTCCCTCCGGTTCACAATAAGTGTCCAATTTGCTTTTAGCACGCTCATTAAGAAAATACTAAATTCTATACAAAAATACCTATTATGACTAAACTATCCCTACTTAAACATTTAATGTGAGGAATAAGAAAATTTTTTAGGGATATGTACATAGGGGTTATTTTGTAAAAACAAATTGAATTCTTTCTTGATTACATAACTGGACACTTATTTTGAACCAAAATGAAAAAGTAAATTGGACCCTTATTATGAACCAGGGGATTAGTTTAAAGCACGTAATAGTTATGTGCCCAATGAAACAATTGGAAAAAAATTCCAAGGGCAGAAATAGATAAGTGACTCACAGAAGAGGCTCACATTAATGTAAATCCAACTGAAGATCATAGCCCACAAACTGCTTTTACTTGCATCCACTAAATCTGCTTATACTGGAAAAGGTGGCTCCCTTTGAATGAGGCCGAGGAAATGCCTCAATTTGAAAGTGGAGCCAAACCCTAAACCTTATAAGGTTGCTCGGATGGAGAAAATGACCTAACCCATTATCCAAAGATGCCTTATTCCTATTCATACAGGAACTTAACAAGATGTAGTGACTGATAGGTTACACCTATGGAGGCTGCTCACATATTCTTTTAGTTGCTATTTGATAAATATGCTATTAACCATGCAAGAGAAAACAGTCCTTAAAGTTTAATAGTGAGACAATCACTTCCAACGCCTGCTAAACCCCATGATCTAATTCCTAGGTCCAATAGTGAGTCATCATCTCAAAGTCTTGTTCCTAAGTGGTTGAATTCTTGTCACATCATCTGTTGTGGAAATGACTTAAAGAAAGTGGATTTTGTCTAGCCCTTGTTGCTAAATACCCTCCTCCCTTCTCACAAGAGGTGCACTCAATTCTCCCTGAATTTGAAGTTGTGGCTGAGAAACTTCCTAATGAGCTACCTCTTTTGAGGGACATTTGACATGCCATTGACTTTATCCCTGCAACTCAACTTCCCAAGTTACTACATACGATAAAACACGACATACAACAAGACCACCCAATGCAGTAATTCTGTTTTCATTGTCCATATTCAAATTGCATTGACACTAAATGTTCATATATGAGCAACTGTCAAGTAGAACATCAGTTGAACAGATCTTCGCATAAGCCTCAAAACACATGTAGCTAAACCCAAATACACAACCCATTGACCCAATACTGAAGCCACAATACAGATGTTCAAGTTGGACTACAAACGCCAATAGTGAATAAATATTAAGATAACTGGGATCAGCTATAATCCTCACTATTCATCGCAAATATCCATTTCCCTACATTTGGACCACTCAATTCCAATATTCAATTGCTTACAGTTCTACCCACAAACTATGTATTTATAACTGTAGCTATAAAGCAATTCACCAGAAAGGATACAACTGATATAACAATGAGAAACAGGAAACAGAAGCAAACATATAAACTCATGGTAACACCTCTGATGCTTGATAAAACATAAATATTAAGTACCCTGACAAAATTGACAGTCTCATAACACTAGGAAAAGAATGAAAATAGCATTTAATATTATCATTCTTCATTAATAACGACAGTTTAGTCCTCATCTTCAATGATTTTGGTACCAAGACCCTTCAATCCCTCTGCTGGGATCTCTGCAACAGTAACCAAAGAGTATAGCTCTTCCTTTGCATCTTCATCATCATTCCTCTTGCGAGCAATACGAACTCTGACACGCCTTGGAACACTTCGGATACCCCTGCTCCATATCTGCTTGTTCAGCTTCACATCCACTCTTACATCCTTGGTGCCCATAGCTTTCTGTGCAAACTTCCGGATCTCCTTGATGGCCGTTGGGGCCTTCTTCTTGAATGTACTGTTAGCCAATATAGTAGTGTAATGTTAGACAACAATTTATAATAAAGATTCGGATAGATCAAATCACTAAGTGATTAATTCTTTTCTTGACAAGTAAAAGAAAAGGCCAATAACACCCAAAAAAAAGGCTTACTACACCAATATGAAGGAAGGCCTTATAACAACTTCTATAGCCTAAAAAATTACTTAAACCAGAGAGGAGCAACCTTAAAACAGTCTGAATCACAAAACATTGCTTAGAACACAACAAGAAGGCACTATAACAACTCGCAAAAACTTAGCAAAGAGCTCAAACCACAAATTCAGATTCTTGAGGAAAAAGGGGGGGGGGGGGGGGGGGTGCTGGAAAGCAGCAAATAAGTAGAGCAACCTCAAGTTCTTATTCCAATGACAGTAAGCTCGCGAAAGGAATTGCTCTCAGATTCCTAATCAATCACCGAACACGATATAAATAACCTACAGAAAAGGCTAGCTGAAACCCATCTTTATCCCAGTCCATGATAGAGACAATGCAAACTGAGATTGTAAATCACAACTAAACATGCGGGTTAAGAAATCACAGTGAGCAGCACATCAAAAGATGACCAACCACAATGGCATTACATGCTGAGGGCAAAAGAAAAAAAATGGGTTTACTGGTTGGCAGCAGCAGCAGATTCAGCATACATCAATAAAATTACATTAATGGTAGATAAAATCAAAAAATGAACAACATTCGCACAAACAGCAATAATTCATTTATGAGCTAAATACAATCAGTCACGGCTCAAAGGCCATCCATCGAAATACAAATGTAACTAGTAAAAGTATTAGAAAACATAAGCACAAACTAATAACTACATACAAAAAAGGGTGCGAAATCTACGGTGGGAAAAAATGGAGGAATTTACAAAAGAAGAGAAAGTATACCAGCTATGTAAGCGCTTGTGGAGGTTGATGGTGTACTCCCTTGTCACCACCTCTTCTTTTCTTCCTTTGGTTTTGTCCGACATTTTCTCTTAACCTTTTCTACACTTACCTCAGTTCCTGCATTAATTCAAGCAACACACAGTCCATTTAGTTTCCTTAAACGCTAAAATAACTTCAGATCTGCAGAACAAAGTAGAACCCTACTATATGTGAGACAGAGATAGATACAAATGGAGAGAGCGCTTACTAGGGTTTGAAGGAAGGAGGCAACCGAGCGGGCCGAACAGTGGAGACGATGACACCGACTAAAATGAGTAGCTAAGGTGAGGGGGACTTATTAAAACCCTAGTGGCATTTAAGTAATTATGTTGCGATTTTACGATGTTATACATTGGGCTGGGTTCAACGCACTTCAAGTCCATGTTACTTTGGGCTTCTACTTATCCAATCCACCTTTGACAGGTCCAGACAATTTTGAAGATAAAATGATACTGTATAGCCACTTTGAAAATAGCAGCCAAAATTTTTTTGTATTTTTTTTTTATGTGTATGTGTATGTATATATGTATACTTTGCGGCTACCGGTGATAAATAATTTTGATCGCGGGCCAAAAATGATCTTTCCCCAATTTTGAAAGCTAAGCTACAAATGCCAACACTTAACGAACCCCATTTTGTTGCTAATTATTTCTGTAGATATAATAGCAAACGTTTATTCATAATAGTAAAGCAAATACTAGTACACTTAAAAAAAGTTCTAAAAACTTCGTCAAAGAAATAAATGGAAAAAGACTGAAAAACGTATTCTATTGTTATACCTCATATTTTCGTACGTAAAAGTATGTCGTAAGCAAACTGATGTAAGATCAAAAATGAGATTATCTTTGAAAGTATATAAATTAAGTTAATCATGTTACCTTGGAGGTTACAAATATAAATATTTAAGAGCATGAACAACGTAGCAAGAGGGTTGGAAGGTTTAGAAGCTAAACAAATTGAAGGAGATAAGTTTCGTCGAAAGTCGACAAGTTGGGAACGTTATAACCCGTACCTTTCAGGTGAGACTAGGGTGCTTAAAATGATAAGAAGGTTATGTTATGAGTTATATTAGTCGTATGATAGTGGTGGGTTACGTTTTGAAGTCAAGCGAGTTGTGGAACAACAGTCGATGAAAGTCGTCACAAGTTACGTTCATAAGTTTTACTAAAATTTGGGTTTAATGTCACTGAGTTTTTAGTCCAATATACTTAGAGTTACAGGGTGATCCACCCATCAAATTGAATATCTACGAGTCTAGTTTCCAATGCATTAAACCGTTTATTAATCCGACATTGGAGTATTGAGATATTTGTATTTTTGCGAGACTGCATAGGCTGTATATGTGACAAGTAGGTATATCATCTACTTGCTTAAACAAAAAGATCAAATATGTCCATAAAAAAGGGCTGGTTGGGGTCGGCCAAAGAGCCCTTTTAAGGGTTGATTTCCTTCATATATTCCACTCATTAGAAAGCCAAAAATCAGAGATAAACCCCTGCAATCTTCTTCCAAAAAATTCATCACAAAATCCTAAATGATTTTCTCTTCTTTTCAAGTTTTAGTTGGAGGAAAACCTAAAAGTTAAAGAACCAAGTAAGGAGATGAGATCTTCACCAAATAAGGTAATTATATTATCCTCTTTCATTCCTTTTTCTACTGGAAAGTATAGAAATTCATTCTATAACTGTAAAAACTCAGGGGATGGTGATCAGAAACCATGAGTTCGAGTTATTCAACTTGTAGTGAATTGTGTTTGTGGGATGTTTCGTGTTGTTTTTGGATTGTCTGCTTTGCTACTATTTTATGGAGTTTGGAAGGAAAAAGGGCATGAAAAAACACCACATAATGGCGTAGTGGTGGGCTGGTTGTTCATCGTAATATTTTCTGGTTGCTTGACACTACTATAATTGACGTTTTGTGTATGAAGTCATTGGGGTGTATTGGGCAATTTTGTGATATATATAAGGTTAAAAAATGATGTATATAAGTTGTTATTACTTTGTTCTTGTGTTGTTGGTGTTATCTCGAATTGGGAGGAAGTAAAGACTATAAGGGAGATGCTGCCCATTTTAATATAAAATAAGCTTGTCGTTCGTTATGCGATAGTTGTACCTTTCGTAACTTAATGATAGTATAGTTATCGTTGTTGTAGATTAAGGTGCGATGCGACGAGTTCAACGTGATTATTAGACATATTGTGATAATATATGTTAAGACTAAACATTTCCTTCACTTTGGCATAATCTTGTAACTACACGCGTTTGATGACAAGACATAAAGAGAAGTTCGTATTCATGAATTTATGTACATTATCCTACTCTCGTAAGTTACAATATTCTATCTTATCGGGATTTTATATTCAGTTAAGTATTGTCTCCTTTCACTCAAGAGAGTAGATGGGTCTATATATATACAATATTATAGTATTTTCACCAGCACCGAGTTATAATTAATGGGTAGGTCCCTATTGGATAACCTCAGATCAGATGGTAAATTATATACAAAGCCTACTTTGGTCGAGCGTCTATGAGCGAGCCTAGAAAGGCCGAGTTACCGAGCCTAGTATGGTCAAGCACGTATGAGCGAGCCTATTATGGCTAAGCAATTACACTACCGAGCCTTATAGGGTCGGACAATTATTTTACTTACTGTATTAAGAGAGTTGAGTCAGTATCAACAGGTAAATATATATTTGCATCATCTTTGACTCCTAGTTACTTTCAACAATTATATTATCAGTTCACTTTCAGCTTTCAATTATTCTATAGCCATACATACTCGGTATATTATTTCGATTGATGTCCCTTTTCTTGGGACATTACATTTCATGCATGCAGGTTCAGATAGACAGACGGGTAGACCTACTCAGTAGGTGTTGACCGAGTTTAGCTCGATCGGTAAGCTCCACGTCATTTGGAGTTACCAGGTCTAGGGTTTTGAGTACATATTATGTATGTATATATAGGTCGAGGCCTTGTTCCGACCACAATACAACCATTAGTAGAGACTTGTAGACATATCCTGTCAGTTAGTGTAGTATGTTAGCCTTGTAGACCTTATTATGATCCCGTCCCCGTCGCGTCCCCGTCCCGCCCCGTCCCAAGTTAAACGGGATGGGCCAATGTTAAACGGGACACGGGATGGGACGGGACGGCCGTTTCGTCCGTCCCGTCCCGTTTCGTCCCGTCCCGCGTCCCGCCAATTTTTTTAAAAAAACTAGCCGTTGGGCAACGGCTTAAATTGCAAAAATAGTCGTTGTCAACGGCCATAAATGGTCAAAACAGCCCCTATCCCCCCCTCCCCAAAAACTTTTAATATAACCCCTAAGTTTATTAAAATACACTTTAGCCCTATTTTCTACTATAAATACACCCCATTCTTCTTTATTTTTTCCTACAAAAAAGCAATCTTCTCTCTCTCAAATCTCTTACATTCTAATATTCTATTTATATTATTCTCTCAATTTTGTTACTATCAACTATCAACTATCAACTATCAAAAGATAACTTTCAAGTTTCAAGTATTTGGGCAAATTTTTGGAGCAACTTTCAAGCTTCAAATTAATTCGTCAAGTATTTGGAGCAATATTTTGGGCAATTTCTTCAAGTTTCAATATTTAATCACGGTGCACTAGTTCCATCTCCTAATTTTAATATATAATTTTTGCAGATCATTTTAGTGCTTAATTTTTGTGTTTACTTTACGTATTCTATTTTCGTATTTCATTTGTGTGTTTAATTTTTGTGTTATCTTCTTAAATTTAATTTCGTATTTAAATTATGGCACCTAAAAATGTAGTTGGCATGTTTAAAAAAAGTAGTAAAAAAGTAGTAAAGGTGAAAGTAGCAGTACTCCTAATCCTAGTCCTAATCCTAACCCTTCTCCTAGATTTAGAAAACATATTGATAAAATGACTCATGTTGATGAAACTTCATTTTCCCAACCCCCCACATTTTATGATGTTAATGTCGGAGAACAACTAGATCATGAAACTTTACAAAGACAATTTGGCAATGATATATTTTTTGAGGACGAAGCAAATGAGGATGAACAAAATGAGGAAGAAGAATTAGATGAAACACCCACTAGTCCCGCAACCAAAGCTCCAACTCAGAGTCAATCTCGGTCTGGAGCTTTACCCCCTGTAAGGGGTAAGACTAAGGCCGAACGTCCCAAAACATCACTTGTATGGAATTTTTTTTAAATATGGTAAAGTCAATCATCGTGCTATATGTGAAAAATATAAGCAACAATTTGCACACACAACAAGTGGTGGTGGTAGTGGTGGTGGTGGTGGGGGTAGGGGGTGAGGGTGGGTGGGGTGGGGTGGGGTAGGGGTGGGGGTGGGGGTGGGGGGTTAACTAGACACTTAAGAAAGGATCACAAATCTTTATGGATACAAGCTAACATAGAAGCCGGAAAAATTATAGATCCTACCATCGGTACTGGCACTCCTAGTGGATTTGGTTCTAATCAAATTCAACAACAACTTGACCCTGATTCTGGTCATGTTTTACGTCCCTATAACAAAGATAGAGATCGTGAGAACTTAGCAAAAATGGTGGCTGTCTGTGGCTTACCTTTTACTTTTCCCTCTCACCCTGCTTTTGTGCATTATATACAAGAAACTTATAACCCTGCTTTTCAAGGTTTTCCTAAGACCACGGTTAGAAATGATGTTTTTAAATTTCAAACCGGTATCTTCAGTATATTCATTGTGTATTTTTTCACTTAGATTGTAAAGTGTCTATCACATATGATATAGGTTGTAGTTCTAATAGTTGTGATTATTTAACTGTTACATGTCATTCGGTTGATCATCACTAGAACATGCAAAAACGTATTATTGGTTATAAATTTGTTGATTCAAAATACACTGGAGCATATATTGCAACTACTGTTCTACAAATACTTGATTTTTATGGACTCATTGATAAAGTTTTAACTATCACCTTAGATAACGCTTCTGCTAACACAACCGCAGCAAATAGCTTAAAATCTAGACTTTGTCCAATTATTCTAGCAATTTTTCATGTTAGATGTGCATGCCATATTTTTAACTTGGTTGTAAAAGATGGTCTTAATTTATTTTCTGATGCTTGTAGTAAAATACAACATGCTTGTGGCTATATTTTTCATGCTAATAAAGCGAGTAGAATTCGTGAATTTGCTCAACAATGTGCTAGTGCTAACCTTCCATTTAGAAAAGTTCCAAAAGATGTTTGTACTAGGTAGAATTCTACTTATGAAATGCTTAAAGTTGCTTATGATTATCGGGTGCCTATCCAAAAGGTATTTAATATGCATAATGGTATTCCCGCTGATCAAATTGTTGATTCTGATTGGGATGAGATCAAAGAGCTTACTAAATTTTTAGAAAACTAGTCTTAGGGTACGCGCTTTGCGCGTGTATCCAAATCAGTGAATACACTATTTTAAAATATTATATAAATAAAATAGTCTGTTGATTATAAAATAAAACTTAATGCAAACACTCATCATATAAAACTCTAAAATAAAATATTTATGAAAAACATAATTAAACAACACATACACTTAACCCCGATTTTGATAAATCCATAACTTCTTCCTTCACATCTCACAAGAATGTTATAATCAATTTTGAATATTAATATATATTGTTTATTGCTAATTTACCAAAATTTTCATTTGAAATATTTAATTTTAGTTATATTTTTATCGATCTAATAGGCATTATATTTCAAATAGTTGAAAATGTAGCCACAATTTTACTTTTGGATCTTCGTGTTTGTAGAGTTGTTGATGTTATTGAGTTTCGCCTCTCTCTCTCTCTCTCTCTCTCTCTCTCTCTCTCTCTCTCTCTCTCTCTCTCTCTCTCACACACACACACACACACACACACACACACACATTTTAATTTTTTTAGTTATTTGTTCAAATTGTTGAGTGTAGTTTTCAAATATTAAATAAAAATTGATGAACTATTTGAGTAGGAACGGAGTTCAAACATAATATAAAATTTATTATAGTTCATATATTAAATTTAAAAACAATATGGAAGAAATTATTGTTAAGTTATATTGTTTAACTAAAAATATATTTTATAATAAGTAAAATTATAGTTGATTTTAATTTATAATTTTTACATAATTCAAATAGGAAAGATTGGATATTTGTCATGATTTTGTGAATGAAAAAAAATAAAATCATACTATCCACATTATATAACTCAAAGACGTAAAATCCTAATTTAATACAATTGACATAATTCAAGAAAAATCTAGGGTTGATTAACGTTCATAACTAAGTGAAAATGTGTAATATAATAAAACATCATATTTAGGAGAAACTTTAGTATAATAGTCATGAACGTACAAAAAAGAAAATAAACATGACTTTGCATTCTCAAATAAGATCAAAATAAAAAGGTGAAGTAGTAATGTGGAACTCGACAGACAAACCGATGTCAAATTTTTTAACTATTTTAAAATCCTTTTGATCTTTTCCTAGCTCATTGATGTTTTGATTTTTTCCCTTACTTTTACTATAAATATGTTATATTTTTCAATAATGAAAGAATTTATATATGGTAGAATTTTAATTGATTTGAAGTCCTAAATATTAGGATTTTCAATATAGTTAAAATAAGGTAAGATTTGATAAACAATAATTTCAAACTCCTAAATATAAGGAAATAAGTTAAATGACTATTTCGTCTAAAGTGAAATCTATATTTAAAGGGTAGAAAAGGCGACCGACATTTCGCTAAGGGCCTTCGTGCTTTTAATATAGTATAGATTTTTATTATGCTACAAGACAATTTTCTGGTATATATTATCCTACTGTTACACAAATATTATGGTATATTTGTGGAATTTCTGTTATATTTGGTAAGTATAAAACAAATTCAACTTATGCACCGGCCATTAATGAAATGATTTTAAAATTTTAAAAGTATATTTTCCCTATTCCCGAAGTTTATTTAATTCCTACTCTACTTAACTCATCTTTAAAACTAAGAGGTGCAAATGAACTTGTTCGTAAAATTTATGAGAATTTAGAAATTCAAGAAAATGAACAACCATCTCTCGAAGACTGCCAAGGTAGCATATATTCTTATGCTAGATCAATGTTTGATAAATATAAATCTATGGATACAATTGGTTGTGAAACTGCTCCTTCTACTTCTAAGTCTAGAGCAGAAGTTTTATGGAAAGATATGGATGATATAACAGGTTTTGATTCCTCTATTGATAATGAACTTGATTCTTATCTTAATCAAGGATTAGAAAGTATTAAAGACGAAGAAGGCAAGGAACAACTTTTGTCATGGTGGAGGGAGCGTGGCAAGGCTTTTCCAACACTTTCAATTATGGCCCGAGATATTGTCACGACCCAATTTCCATACCCGGTCGTGATGGTGCCTCTCGTGAAGACAAGGCCAGCCAACTAACCCAATCCGTTTCTTTAACAATTATTAAACATAAATGTATAGACAAATATAGCTTAACGACAATAATAACCAGTATGTACAACCCAACACAACCCGACCGGGGTGTCACAAGTCACGAGCATCTAAGGAAACCATAACACAACTATAGGCCAATAATATATACAAGTAAAACTTTTGGAAACAAAAGACAACATCCGGTGCCGCGAACACTGGCGGTCACCTTGCTCAGCTACATTAGTATTACCTTCAGTCCGCTAATCACCCGCTATCGGGTGAGCAATACCTGCAACTGCACGCGAGGTGCAGGGAGTAAAGTGAGTACTTCCAACTCAGTGGTAATAAGAGTAAATAATAACTGAGAGACGAGAAATAACGTAAGAGCACTCCATCATGCTATATAGGACAATACAACCCTTTGAGAAAAACAGTAAAACCGTGAAAAAAATCCTTTAGAAAATATCTGGCTCAGTTTAAAACCTCTTTTGAAAATATCCTTTTCCAACAGTTAAGCAAATGAATGCATAATCAGATAGTGCAAGTCCGCACATAAGTCAGCCCCTCGGGCACAGCACTCCACTAACAATTAACACCAGGGCGTCTGGTAAACAGTGCAAGATGTAGCATGAATGCCAATGAAATGAGAGTGCTGAATGTCATGTTACGTAGTACAAACAGGAACCAATGCATGAATGCAATGCAATGCACATGACCGCTGCGGCGCGCAGCCCGATCCATTTTGGTACCCGCGCTCACTGTGGGGGTTCAGACTCCGGAGGGGCTCCTACAACCCAAGCGCAATGTCAATATCACACCGCTGCGGCGCGCAGCCCGATCCATCCTCAGTCCAGAAATGCACATAAGCCCCTTGGGCAATAGTAAAATAACAGTCTCAACTCAAAACGTCAGTAAAATATCATTTAGGTTTTGAAATCTCAGAAAGATAGCTAAGTTTGCGAAACAGTATTTTAAACCTTGGACTGTGATAAAATAATATGCAAAGTAATGCAAAAAAAAAAAAAACGTTTAAAAAGCAAAAAAGGACAGTAGAAAAAGAACATTTTCGAATCAATTAATAACCGCCATAACCGCCCGACTATGACGGAGGCGATGATTACGCCGGCAACCGGAATACAAAGGAGGAGAACCCCATTGACATTTGGAAGCTTCTTACCGTCGAAATTTCAATCAATTGAAGAGGAGAGTGAAACGAAAATCAAATGGATAGATCCAGTTCAAAACCCTTTGGCGAAAGGGGGAAAGGAGCAAATTAAGAAGGAAATCCATGAACCAAGGCGGCTCCAGTTCTCTGAAATTGGAACGGGAAAGCAGATCAGAAGCGAGGTGGAAACGGACCAAAATAAACGAGATGAAGGACTGAAGAACAACGTTCGTCACAAATGGGTAAGCCACTTACCTATGTCACTCCATCAATCAGGGATGACAAAGTGATAGTGAAAATTGTGGAGGACGACATCAAAAGACAGAAAGAGGTGTGGAATTCTGCACTAATTGGATATGTGCTGGGAGACACACCATATGTTCGATCAATGGAAAACTATGTTAATACGGTATGGAATTTTGTTGATAAACCTAAAATTTTGTACCATGAAGAGGGATACTATATTTTCAAATTCCAAACAGTTGAAGATAGGGATTTGGTTCTGCAATCCGGGCCATACACATACCATAACAAGCCAATGATCCTGAGGAACTGGGAAATAGACTTCTATTTTGACCCAGAGTGTTTGAGCACTGTTCCATTGTGGGTTAAATTTCCAGGATTACCAGTGGGATATTGGTCACCTGAGGCACTAGGTAAATTGGCTAGTGGAATTGGGAAACCACTATACACTGATGAAACCACTGTAGACATGGAGAGGATATCATATGCTAGAGTTTTGATTGAAGTAGATGTTGCTCAACCTTTGCCTGAATGTATTGAGCTTGACACACCATTTGGAACTTTTCAACAACAGGTGACATATGATTGGAGGCCAAAATTTTGTGTAGACTGCATAAAATTTGGTCATGATGCAGAAGACTGTTGGAAAATAAAATCAGGAGCAAAGGAAGAAACATACCAGGAAGTAGCTAAAAGGAGGAGAAGAAGAAATAGGAAAAAGAAGCCAATATGGATAGCTAAAGAATTAGAGGAAAATAAAGTAGCACAACAAGATGAAATTCAACCTGTAGAAGAAGAAGGGGAGACACAACAAAGTGTTGCGCAAATACAGAATATGCAGGGGCAGCCAAATGATCAAGAGATCAATACAAAAGCAAAGGGCAAAAGCAAAGTTGTACAAAAGCCTGTAATGCAGGATCCAGTGATGATAATGAAAGCAAACAGGTATTCTGTGCCGAGAATTGATGAATCAAAAACTACAGGGGAATGACCTGTAGAAGGACAGATGGTTGCAGAACCCCCATGATAGTGTGCACATGGAACATTAGAGGGCTGAATAAGCTCTCAAAACAGAAGGAGTTGAAGCTCTTTCTGGAAAGACAAAAAATTGATCTCATGGGATGCGTGGCAACTAGAGTGAAAGAAGGGAAAGCAAAGAAAATCTTGCAAAAAGTAGCTAGAGGTTGGAAGTACTGCTGTAACTATAGTACAGCAGTAAATGGCAGAATATGGCTCCTATGGAAAGAGAATATAAATGTGCAGATTCAAGCTATAAAGGATCAGTACATACACTGTTCAATAGAGGAAAGTTCATCTCACTTCACCACAGAATTTACAGTAGTATATGCAAAAAATACTTTGCAAGAGAGGGAGGAATTATGGAATGACCTGCATCAGATGGGAAAACATATCTGTAATGCTTGGCTTCTAAGTGGAGATTTCAACAATGGGCTAACAACTGATGATAGAATTGGGCAACCAGTTACAGCTAAGGAGATGCAAGGATTCCAGGACCTGCTGAATAACCTGCAACTGACTCCTATAAGGTCAATAGGCAGGCACTTTACTTGGTGCAACAAACAGCCTGTGGGAAGTAGAGTTTATAGTAAAATTGATTGGGCTCTGGGTAACTTCCAATGGATGCAGCAATATGGTCACATTGAGGCAGATTTCTTAAACCCTGGAGTATCAGATCATTCCCCTATAATAATGAGGTGTGGAGAGAAGAGAAGAATGTACCCAAAGCCATTCAAGTTCTTTGTTAATGTAATGGAACACCCTGAGTTTCATGCAAGATTAAAGAGAGTATGGGAGCAGAATAAAGATATTAATGCCATGACAAAAGTTAGCAAAAAATTGCAGGATCTGAAGCAGGAGTTAAAGGACCTAAATCATTATATGGCTTCTTATCAACAAAAATTGAATCAAGCAAGACAAAAACTGGAGATAGTACAAGCAAACATCAGTGTACAACCTTTCTGTCAAAGCCTATTTGATCAGGAAAAGGAGATACTAGCTGAGTTAGATAGGTGGAGCAATATTGAAGAACAAGTACTTAGACAGAAATCCAGAGCAAATTGGATCCTGTGTGGTGATAGCAACTCAAAATATTTCCATGCCCAGTGGAAGATTAGACAAAGCAAGAACACAATCTCATCCATCTACACAGAGACAGGTATCAAACTCACAGACCCAGTGCAGGTAGAAGCAGAATTCATGACTGTATTCAAAGGATTAATGGGATGTTGCAGGGGAGAGATCAAATGTCCAAACTCAGAAATCATAAAGAAAGGGCCAATTTTGACAAGGGAGCAACAAGTAGACATGATAAAGCCAGTAACACTCAAGAAATAGATAATGCCATTAAAGATATGCCAGCAGACAAAGCCCCAGGGATAGATGGATTCCCAGTAGAATTCTTCACAAGAAACTGGGCAATAGTGAAGAATGATGTATGTGATGCAGTACTGGAATTTTTTGAAACAGGGAAGATGCAGAAGAAGGTGAACTGTACAGCAATCACCTTGATTCCCAAGGTTAGGTCACCAACACTAGTCAAAGATTATAGACCTATAGCTTGTTGTAACATCCTATACAAAATCATAGCAAAGATACTACAGCTGAGAGTTAAAAGGGTGATTGGGAGCATAGTGAGCCAGTCACAGTCAGCTTTTGTAGAAGGAAGAAGCATCATAGATAATATTTTATTCAGTCATGAATTGTTCAAAGGCTACAATAGGAAAGGGGTATCTCCTAGATGTGTCATGAAAGTAGATCTTAGGAAGGCCTATGATACTTTAGATTGGAGATTCTTGAGGAGAATGCTTAGTTATCTTGGCTTCCCATTCAGATTCATTGAATGGATCATGGAATGTGTTACAACTGTCTCTTACTCTCTAGTGCTTAATGGAGGGCTCACCAAACCATTTCAAGGACAAAGAGGTATCAGACAAGGGGATCCAATGTCCCCATACCTCTTTGTAGTTGCAATGGAATATTTGAATAGAGAAATGATGATGCTAGCAGAGAATGGGGACTTCAACTTCCATCCTAGATGCAGGAAGCTGGGAGTAATTCATATTTGCTTTGCAGATGATCTGCTTATGTTCTGCAGAGCAGATACTGGATCCATCAGCTTACTTCAAGAGGGTTTTCAAAGATTTTCTGAAGCTACTGGTTTACAAGCAAACAAGGACAAAAGTTCTATCTATCTTGTAGGAGTAAATGAAGATGAAAAGCAGAACATATTGAACATGCTAGGTTTTGAGGAGGGTAAATTACCTTTCAGATACTTAGGGGTTCCACTATCCTCTAAAAAGTTAACTGTGAACCAATGTCTGCCCCTAATAGAGAAGATAACTGATAAAATCAGATGCTGGTCAGCAAGATTGTTGTCATATTCAGGCAGACTCCAATTGATTAAGTCTGTACATTTTGGCATCCAGACTTACTGGGCACAAATATTTCTGCTACCTAAGAAAGTTATGAAAATGATTGATGCAGTTTGCAGAACTTTCTTGTGGATAGGAGAAGCAAGTATCACAAGGAAAGCACTGATATCATGGGAACAAATATGCAGGCCTACATCTACAGGAGGATTGAATGTCATCAATTTAGGACTATGGAACAAGGTAGCTGTGATGAAGCAACTATGGGGAATTGCAATGAAGAAAGACTGTTTGTGGATAAGATGGGTCCATAGCTACTATATCAAGAATCAGAAGGTGGAAGACATGCCTATACCTAAGACTGCAGCTTGGGTAATCAGGAAATAATAGAAACAAGGGATGATATACATCAGCAACAAGTACAGGGTTCCCTAGGTGACAAAATGAAGCCACTAGTGGTACATGGCAAATTTTCTATAAAGCAAGCCTACTTAATGTTGATGCCACAATACCAGAAAGTACAATGGAGGAACTTAATCATGCAGCCAAACATCCATCCCAGATATAGATTTATAACATGGTTGGCTGCACATTAAAGACTAGCTACTGTGGATAGACTTAGCAAGATGGGAATACAGGTGCCACAGGAATGTGTATTCTGTAAGGCTATCACAGAAACACAACATCATCTCTTCTTTGATTGCCCAGTTACAAATAGATTATGGACAAGACTACTGTTATGGCTTGACATAAAGAGAAGTATAAAAGACTGGAAAGAAGAACTAAACTGGGCAAGTAATATGGCCAGAAAAAGACAGGGAAGGCAGCAATTATCAGCTATGTGTTTGCGATGCTGGTATATAGTATCTGGAGGGAAAGGAATATGATAAGGTTTCAGCAAAGCATCTTCGAGGAACATAGATTGTGCAGAGAAATAGTTCTACATGTACACACAAGAGGTAGAGATCAACCAAGATGGAAGAAGACATTATAGAGACTTGATAGATTTGCTTGACTTTTCATGTAATTGTCTATACAAAGTGGTTGAGCTAGAGTTTTGTAGTAGTATGCCTAGTTGGTCAGAATAATGATAAATGTAACTAGGATGAGCTAATGAGTAGAGATTGTAGCTGGTCAGCAGCTACATGGCCTTGTACAGATATACTTTGATTAATACAAATTTTGAGTTAATCAAAAAAAGTAATGCAAAAACAGTGATATCGATCCTGAAGGATTCAAACAATTGGCACGAAGCCCAAATATAGCAATCAACCCAAATAATGATGATAACAAGTAGTTTCAGTCAATTACACAATAAAACCAACAACCGGGACGGACTAAGTCACAATCCCCAACGGTGCTCTACTCCACGCTCATACCTGGCGTGCAAGTCACCACAATACAGCACTATGATGTGCAAATCCGGGGTATCAAACCCTCAGGATATCATTTACAAGTATTACTTACCTCGGATCGGTGAAATCCCTAGCTCGCGATGCCTTTGCCCCTCAATCGGCCTCCACGCGCGTCGAATCTAACCAAAACCAGAGCGAATACATCACAATATGCTAAGGGAACAATACCCAATTGAAAACAATCGAAAATTAGCAAGAATCTCGAAACTAGCAAAACCCGAGCCCCGGGCCCGCTTCTAGAAAATTACGAAATTCACATCACCGGATTCCTCGTCTCGCCACGAGTCCATACATATAAAATTTACCAAAATCGGAGTTCGTTTGACCCTCCAAATTCTATTTTTACATCATAATTTTCTCAAACCCTAACTTCCATTTTTAACCTTTAATTCCTTGGATTTTTCAGTGTTAATCCATGATTTTACACCATAATATCATAATCTAAGTCTAAGAATCCATACCTGATGATAGCCCTAGAAACCCTCTTCAAAAATCGCCCAAAAATCTCCTTAGTCCGAAGTCCAAAATGTTTCTTCTCTTTCAAAATTGTGAAAACACTGTTCACTTAAACTCAGCCAGGTTTCGCTTCTGCGGTTGGGATACCGCACCTGCGGCTCCCGCTTCTGCGCAAAATAACTGCTTCTGCTGTCTAACTTAAAATCCTCAGGACCGCTTTTGCGGTCACCACCCGCTCCTGCGATGTCCGCTTTTGCGGACTGCCTTCCGCTTCTGCGGAAATTGCCAAGCCCTCAAGGACCGCTTCTGCGATCACAGCTTCGCCTAAGCGGCTACGCTTCTGCGGTCCAAGACCCGCAGAAGCGAGAATGCCAGAAACAGCATGCCTTCAGCTGTATGAAATTCCAAAAACTCCCCGTTAGCCATCCGGAATCATCCCGAGGCCCCCCGGTACCTCAACCAAAAGCACCAACATGACTTAAAACATTATCCAAACTTATTCCAATCATCAAAACACATCAAACAACACTAAAATTATCGATTCTCATCGGATTCAAGCCTAAGTTCTTAAAAACTTTCGAAACTCGCATTCGATCAAAAACCCAACCAAGCGACGT